TCTAACTTGAAGGGGAGAAATATGGTAGCTTCACTAAACAAAAAGGCCATTCATTCATTCAGTATTCATTTTCTTAGTCACCCACCAGACTCTAGGTGCTATATGATGTGCTGATGATATAAATACAAATACTCGTTCCTGCCTTTGAGGAGCTCTGACTCTTGTAAAGGGAGATGAATGTATGATGAGACCATTATTATACAGTGTGATTTGCACAATGACAGAGGCAGGCACAGGGTGATGTGGAGCCCAGAGAATTTGCTTTGAGAACAGATGGATTTTTTTAAACAAAGAAATGCATTTTACAGCACAGTGGTCATGTGCTGATATCAATAATATGCACATTATTTTGTACTTATTAATAGCATCAGCGTCATCTTCAAATCCCTCACTCTGGGCCAGGTCTCCACTGCCTTGGTGGGTACTGAAGCATGATTCAAACAAGCAGCCACACAGGCTTAACCAAGACCTAGACTTAGATCCCTGCTCCTCAGAGCTTGTAAGAATGAATCATTCAAGGAGATGGCAGCAAAGGGGGTAATTTTCTCTTGATTCATGGGGCTGAACTTCATGCCAATGATATTTTGGTGCAGAGATTTTGAATGCTATTCTGTCTATGGCTCCACCATTTCTAAAGACATTGCTACAGCTGTGTGGATGACTCATTGGGATAGCTTGTGCAAGCCTATGGCCCTGGAGCTGTGTGTGTGTGTGTGTGTGTGTGTGTGTGAGAGCGAGAGAGAGAGAGAGAGAGAGAGAGAGACAGAGAGAGAGAGACCTCTAAGGAGAGGCAAGAAAGCAATGCTGCAGACATTGAGCACTTGTATAGACCACAGGTCTATATTGCTTGGAGTAATTAATGATGACTCTGGTGACAGAGGTGGTGGTCATAAGCCATTCACAAATATGTATTGAGCACCTACTACATGCCACCACTGACCTAGACACATGGGATCGAAATGGACTCCCTTTAATAAATCTCTGCCATTGGGGCTTAAATTCCAGAAGAAACTGGCAAAATGGTGCTAGCATTCCCCTTCTTGTTTGAACTATTTCCTTCTCATAAGTTCCTAGTCATGAACGGCTTGTTCTCCATTAAGTGCCAGCATCGGCTCGAGAATCATAAAACTTTATCTCTTCCAAAGCTTGAAGATTTTTATCTGCTTAACATGTTTATATGAGCAGAGAAATGGACTCCGTTTCAGATGTAGAAGTCTGTGTATGTGCGTTGAGGGGTGGGTGGGGGCGGTGATAGTGTACAGTGGGAAGAAATTCTACTGCCCTACTCTCCACTGATACTTTCCAGCTGGGGAAAATACATGTTAATACCCGAATTGCTCCCCTCCAGCCCACTTGCCTTTCCCCCTCTGCCTCCACTTTGCTCCCTCCTCCCTTCCTTTCTAAATCCCTCCCTCTCCTCCTTCCTTCCCTTTCCTTTGGTCCCTCCCCACCCCCTTCCCTTGCTCAGGTCTTCTCCTCTCTGGCTCCCTTTTTCTCTAGCCTTTCCTCTCCTACTC